CTACTTACCATCTCATCTTTAAGTACATTATTTCTATTGTATCTTTTCCCCTAGTGTTCAGAACTAACCAGTCTACAGACACTCCACTGAAGCCATTTCATTCTCGCCATCCAAATGTATGTCCCAGTTCATCTCATGAGATTTCTTTGGCTGATTTCAATGGAGGCACTGCTGCTTCCTGACTAATAGGCACAGAAATGACTAGGTATGAATCAAGCAAAAGCAGCTAGATGCAAACAGACAGTTCACCTCCCTCTGCCTCCTCTAGTCCCATGGATCATTAGGCCCACAGGTCTTTTCCTGTAAACCACAGAGTGAGATTTGAAAAGCGTGAGGAATTATCTTCTCGTAACAGAATTTAAATCATCAAGTAGTTAATTACATGATGGCTACCACTATAAGATTGTGTATTAACAAAGCTAGTCTTTATACATGCACATAACATGAAACACATTGAAATAGAAAAATTCACTACCTACAGATCAATATTTCATCTATTTTTTGCTGAATGAAATGTTTACTTAAGGATATCAACCTCAATGTGATTGGGGAGATGAATTTGCTCTATACTGACAAGTGTCGCAAACCCCAGTTTAGGATCCTGCTGACTATGCCAATTTGTCTCGATTTAAAATGCTTAAGGAATCTCCAATAAAGGTATTAGTAAAAGTGGTTTTAATATGATGTTGTAAAAGCGCAACTTGATGGCAAGGTTCACTCTACTGCGTGGAAGAATCATACAAAGGAAAATTGAGTTACACTCAAGTTAGAATAATTCACAGAGAGACAGGGGATGCAAAGAGTAGGGAGGACCCTCCTGTTGAGTCACGAGATTCAGAGTAGACACCCTTGCTTTCTAAACTCCTGACAGAGCTTAGGTGCGGCTAGGTCCAATCTTAGTCTCAGACTTGGTCAACAGTTTATGTCTAAGGGAGTGTACATGCAAAGTTTCTGCAGTGTTTCATTAGCATCAATTCAGCATGCAAAGTTACCAGGACAAAATCAAATTTATCATACTACAAGGTTATGTGCGGTATCAGTCGCTTACCAAAGATCTGTCATTGGTAAGAGGTGTCTCTGCCTCAAGGAGCAACCTTGAGAGGTGTCCCAGCTCAAGGGGAGATCACCGCCATGCAGCCACACTGCCTAGCAGGGAGAGCTCGGAGAAGGCTCACTTAGGTTGTCATATTTATAGGATAAAGTTGGCTCAGTCAAATTACATGCAATGGAAAAGGTATGCATGAGACTCCTTGTACCCACAACTTTCTTTGTTGCTTGATAAATGAGTCTTGGAAAAGCCAACTGCTATTCACGTGTCAATCGCATGATCGGTGTTCCAAGCTCATATGCATCGATGCTCACTGTGCCACTCTGTTCCTTTGTGGCTTTTTGGAGAACAGATCGAAACTAGAGGAGTTCACGGCCCGGCTACGGCTCAGGCCTTTACCTCTTCCGGAGCCTGCACCAAACCACCACCAGTCTGGCCAAGGGGTCGAACGCACCCGTCACAACAAGGTAGGTGTGTGCACCTGGGCAGTGGGGAGGGTGAAGCAACCATGCTGCTGTGACCTAGGCCCTGGGAGCTAGAGCTGCACCAGGCAGCATTAATGGCAGACATTCAAGTGCTCTTTGTTTCCTCTGTAAATGTACGATGAAGCGGCATCATCAGGGAGCATTATACTCATTATTCTAAATTTCTCCCTTAGTTTCACATCAAGAATAAGCAGAAGCAATTCCATTAAAGCAAACTCAAATATATTTATTATCATGGAGTCCAAAGAACAAAAGCCTTCAGAGTTTCACAGTGTTGTAAAAAGCAAAACTCTTGCTACTTTTCCATGGTTTTTGGTAATGAAGTGGCATTACTGGCTTTGGAGGCACTTCACAGTAGCCTGCTATGGTAGTCCTTACCCAGTGTTGATCTCACTTTCCAGGATTCTAATGGAATGGCATCTTGGGCCTCTGGCTGAGACATATTCTAGTTCCAGCCATGATGACAAAAGTCCTAAACCACAAGAAATTAAGGAACTGAAAATAAAGTCATTTAGACTCCTCCCTCCACTCAGCAGTCATTATTGCTGGTGTTAGGGCAAAGTTGTGCTGCGCACAAAGTTACTCAGCTGGCAAGCTGCCTCAGACTCCTGCCCGTTTTCCTTTTCACAAAGGAAGAGACAAAGGTCAGTTCCTTTTGGGTATCTCCATGCCTGGGCCATCTGCAGATGTAGGGAA